GATCTAATATTTCTCAGCCCTATCTAGTGCAGATGCTAGTACTATTGTTTTACCGTGATCAGCAGCAGACCTGACCACTGACCCCACGCAACCTGATGTCAAGGCACAAACTTTGAACCATGGCTTTCTACCTAATTCTCTAAAGTACAATCTAACTCTCTAAAAAATGATCACATTTTTGATACATGACTTTGATTATTAATAAGATTATAAGAAGAAATAATTGCAACATGAGTGACTATATGAAGCAGAAAATTAATTTTAAGTCAGTATTTGTAGATAAGAATACCACCTTTCCATAGGAGTCATATATATCACTTTTTGTATCTTGTTTGAGAATTACACTGTTACCACCTGTCAGTATTTAAAATGCATTTACTGGGTCAAGTACTCCACAAATATTATTTGATTTAGTCAAAATAACAAATGTGTGGCGTAAAGTAATAATATCCTCATTTTACACATGAAGACACAAAAGTTCAGGAGTTTAATTTATTCAAATTTGTAGTATTAGAAAGTGATAGGACATGAACTTGAACACAGGTGGCCTGCGTAGGCTATTTGGCATTATGTCTCTTACCATAGTTAGGTGGCTCCCATGGATAACCCAGCAAGCAGAATACGAACAGGAAAAAAAAAAAAAAAAAAAAGGTAATTTGAACTTTAGAAACATAAAGATTTTTAAAATTTTGCAAAAGCACCTTTTACACTTGGGGAAAAACTAGTTTCTTGAATTTCCTTTTAGCATTCTAACTTGGAGATAGGTAGAGGACATTTTATGATGCTCATATTATAAAACAGAAACAGAATAACATTATTGACTTTGCTTCATTTCAAGTTTAACAAATGCCACATATGTTGTTTTTTACCTGGTTTATTTTATTAGTCTAAATTAGTGAATAGATTAAGACATGATTTTAACATGAATTTCTGATGAATGTAATCTGGATCCTATCCTAGATTTGTTGGATTGGGTTAAGTGGATGCTTTGTTCTTAAAGAATTGCACTTTTTGTTCCATGTTAGCAGATTAGCTTCTTCTTTCTGGTGGATCATTACCAGGATATTTTTGTGCTTGTGACTGGAGAAGCAAGCTATTGTTAAGATTATTTTTCTCTGTGTTTTGCATGTGTTCAGTGCTCCAGTAGTTGCAAATGTCAAACTAACTGGTGTGTAGGACACACAAATAAGATTTACATAAAAAAGAACAGCTCTGTGAAATATTACCCATAGAAAGGCAAATGTACTGAGATAGTGATTATAGCACAGGAAGCTCCAGGTGTAACCATAACGATGGCAGGACCGTTTCTTTCCGTCCTGCAGTATTTTATATCTATTGCCCTCAGAACAAGAGTGTGCATTCATGGGTAGCAACTGTCATTTCCTGTCCTGTAAAACTGATTTTATTGCAATCTCCTGCTTTTAGTTACTGAAAACTTGCTGAAAATCCTCTATAAAAGGTAAAGCTTCCACTGTTGTGGCCTCTTTTAAAAAATACAACTTGAGTGAAAAGAGTAATACTTAAGTTCTAAAAATATGGCAAATGTTCAAGTTAGGAAGGAGTTCAGAAGGTTCATAATTAAAATGATCTGTGAATTAAAGCATGACCTAAATGAACAAATACAGGCAAAAATTGATCACTTCTGCTTTTTGAAGTGCTGGATTGCTTGTTTAAGCATATCTTATATACTAGGATGTTCTACTTTATAGTCCACACAGGATAAAATGGAATTTAGTTTGTCCCCATCTCTGCCATTAACATGCATTCAATTTAAACTTGAATTATTTAGTTTTACTTATTTAATGAGCATATGATTCTTAAATGGTTGATGATTTTTTTGTTTAATTTTAGATAATAATTTTATTTTAAAGTATTATTTGGATTTTTGCATTTAGGTGACTTAATGATAATATTCAGAATCATTTTCTATGTATTTTTAAATATATTAAAATATATTTTATATATTTCAAAATACATATCCCATGTATTTAGTATTTGCTATTCTATTTCGTATAAACCTTGAGGTTGTCAGGTAAAGTACTGACATATGTTCATACATGTTCATCTTATACTATGTTGAAAGAGAGAGTCATTAGTTAGCCTTTGTTTGAGTCCTTCAGTGCAGTCCTCTAATTTGACTAAATGTCTGACAGTGTGAATGTTTCATTAGACTTTCAGTGGCTTATTTATTATTTATGCATTTAAAAAAACTCATATCTTCAGGGTTGACAGAGCTAGCAATATTTGATCATCACAGCAACACACTGTGAGATTAACAAGATTTTCTCCCCTTTACATATAGATAAACGGAGGGTGACAATGGTTGTATGTAAAATGTGATTACAATTATTGCCACTCTGGCATAAGTCTAGACCTCTGCAAGTCAAACTGTAATGTGTTCTCTGATTAAAATTTAAAAAGTAAGCCTGTGATCCCAGCAATTTGTGAGGCTGAGGCAGGAGGATGGCAAATTCTAGGCCAGCCCGGGCAACTTAGTTAGACCCTATCATAAAATTTAAAAAAAATTAAAAAGTCTGGGGATATAACTCAGGTGTCCTAGGGCTCTATCTATCCTGAGCACTGCAAAATAAATAAATAAATAAATAAATGAATAAATAAATCTGAATCAGATTGTCCACTTTCAATGACATTAGAAATGATTTATGCTGTATTCTTTATCTCATAAAATATGCTAGAATATTTTTAATATTAATAATTTAGGAACATTGTGTGTAGCTTGAGTGTGAGAAAAAGTAATTTCAATTATGCTTCAGCCCATGCTTATTTAGAAAATAACTTATTTTTAGCCATGTTAAAATTTGGGGTTTTTTTTCCTAGCAATTTTATCTGATAGAAACATAGCTTCATAAAGTGTGTATTTATGATATTCTTGTATTTGTGAGTACAGGAACATATACATAATATGAGTTATATACTATGTAGCATAGTGTATGTTACACACTTTTATGTTTTTATAGGTTTGTGTATGTGTGAATGCCTATTCTCTAGAGATGGGGATAAGGTTGTTTCAGTTACATGAGTCTTTGGTGTTGCGCTGTAAATTTGGCTGTGTTTTGTCAAAATCATATGAAGACAAACCTCTGCCATAAAAATTATTGAGAGACTCTCTTCTCAGCTTTATGTAAACCCACAGGATCAAATATTTAGCTTGGAATGAAGATGTAAGTCTCTGTACCATAACACAATACATCACTTAGAACTGGGGCTTGTTATGGCTCAAGATAACATGCCACTTGTTTTCCTGCAGTCATGCACCAGGTTCCTACATCATTCCACCATGTTATTTCAGTTGCCCTACCCTGACCCCCTGTTAAGGCTAAGCTCTTTGTTTTCTCTTAATCTCTTTATTCCTTTTCCTGTTATTTCAGTACTTATTTTGGAAGTATAGTCCCCATGTTATGTTTCAAATTTTTTTTACTAAGAAGAGAATTGTCAGAAAAATCAGGTGAATCCAGCCAATGGAAATCAGAGATTGTGTTAAATCAAGTGTAAGGAGAAAATTTATCATGAAAATTACATGACAATGATCAATGGTCCCCATCAGTTGCCTGTGAATTAATGCCTGTAGAAATGGTAGGATTTCCTTCCCACCTTCTTCTTGCACTGACACTCCATATGAGGTCCTCATACTTCTTGTGTCTAGTGGCCAAAGTATGGCAGACAAATTGATCTTCAGGTTACTTCTCTGCACCTGATTTTTCCTGTTCTCAGAATCCCTAAAAGTCATCAGGTCCTTCATATTTGCAACCTTCATCCCTCAGTTCATTTTCTTCCATGGTTGCTCTGTGCAACCATCTTATTCAAGAGAATAAGATGCATCAAAGATGCAGACCAAGACTCCTTTAGTAATATTAGTTGGCCACAGAGACATAAGCAAGAGGGCTGCCTTCATGCAAAGAAAACACTTCTGAATTTTACATCTCCTTTCTGTAGTATAATTTGAGACCAGCCATGGCATGGCACTGGCCAGAACTCTGATATAGTTTAATATTTTCTTTTTTTTTCACAGCTGATGAGAATACAACAAAAGAAAATAAATAAAAACCAGCCTTTTAGTAAAAGATTTATCAAGAACAAGTACCTATGTCACTTAAAACTAAAGTGTCTGCAGTAATTTAAAAAATTCACTTTTTGTTATAACCATTACTACAAAAGAATATTAGGTAATGTTTTTGAACATACTGCCTATTACTAGGGTACAGTTAGAAATTCATTGACACAGTAGGATTCTGTCTCTGTATATCTATCCCCTTGTGTATGTGTATATAATGTACTTTATCAGATACTCTGTTACTAGTTTTTCCTGTATACCTGGATTTCCTTGGTACAAAAATTGACTGTAAATCTTCCTAGTATTTAAAATAACATTAGTGCTACTATGCTAATCAATTTTATGTGAGTTTCTGAGCACTTTTTAAATGTCATGAATCATTGTACTATTCTTTATTCTTCCCAAATATTTTTGTTCTTACAAATAGGTGATTTTTCTGACACATAATTGAGTGAAATAGGTTCCCAATTTTTAAACCATTTCAAGAGTGAATATTATAGGGCCAGTTCCCAAGGACTCTCTTGAGACCATGATCTGATTATTTTCCAGTGGACAACACTTTTGTTCACTGAGGGTTGGTATGATGTGTTTATGATCTTTGGGTTATATCCAACAAACCTATGCAAAGGACAGGGATTTCAGAATCATTCTATGGTTCTGAGAAGAATGTCATTACCAGTTGAGATTATTCTGGTCACAGTTAAAGTCCTTCAAATAACTGTGAAAGTAGCTCTGAAAATATTGTGAAATGATAACAAGAAAAAATTAGTGTACTGTTATATAAGTCAGAAATATTTGAAACTGTAATCCTCTAAAATTCAGCAATATATTTGATATAGCAAACTAGAGTTACCTATTGATTGCTAATTGTGTTTAAGACTATAGCTATATTTTGAAATGTTGATCACATTTTCTCCTTCATTTGTAGGTAACCCATTAACCAAGGATAAATCAAGTGATCCTCCAGGCTGATTACATTGAACATATGCACAGAAATTTAACTCTTGAGGTGATCTTGAAGATTTTTATACTGCTCAGAAGAAGGGCTCCAGAGTCTATTTCCAAGGGATTCTATGGCTCGTTACCAGCCTCTTCTTGAGATCAAGACTTTAAAAATGTCAGACATGGACTTCTATATCATAAAGACTTCAGATTTGAACTGCGCTCCACTTGTAAAGTTGCTAAGGGAATTTGAAGTTGCTGTCTGCAGAGCTGGTGGAGAGTGGGTGTTTACGGTGTGACGTCACAGTCACCTTTTGGGGTCCTGGGTCCAGCTGTGACTGCTTTTCTTGTTTCTGAAAGCTGTCTCCCAAGCACACTGTCCTTCTGTCATGGATGTGTTCCTGGGTCCTTTGTTCACTGGCAAATGGGACTGTACACAGCTTTGATGACACTTCCTTTGAGAACTTCTCTGGCATGGCATAGACTGAGACAATTTTCTTTGTATCCTAATCTTGGAGCTCTAAAAGCCTATGTGTTTTAACATCTTAAGGTTGCTTTTGTTAAAGGAATGGAAATATATATCCATCGATAATACTTATTGTTGGCAAGTAATAGTAATCTGAGTACATCAATCATGTAAGAATGTATAGACAAGCTGACATGTTACCCCAAGGCTAACCCACTACTGCAGCTCTCTGTCAGTTAAATAGCTAGTAGTTAGAACTGGATCATCATCTTCATTATACAATACTTTGTATTACTTCTAGAGTACTCTATTTTTTTTTCCTTAAAGTGGGCTTTTTCTTTCTTTATTTTTGTTTACTTTTTCCCTTTACAGAAATCAGCAGTGAACTGTCAAGGTATTATGTAGCCCTCAGATTCAAAAACTCACCAGGGATGCATGTGCGTTTCTGATTCTTAGCTTGAACGTTATTCACTTAGACTTCTTCTGAAACTTTTTTTCAAATGTCCTTTTTCTATCTCATTTTAAAAGATTGTCTCTTGCTTGATCCCAATTGACTGTTTGAATGCTTACATATTTGTTCAGTCTGTTGATAGAATAAATTGTTCATTTTCCTTGGTCAGAAATTTATAAATATTTGCTTACAATTGTTCCATTTGAACAATTTCATAGGCCAGTATTCTGTCCACATTTTCATAGTCTTTTAACATTTGTGATTTTTTGGTTCTACGGGAACGTCTTATAAATATTTAAAAGCCTTAAACATTTATGTACTTTTTTCTAAGTTATTACAGAATGTATAATTTTATACTGCATTTATTTTGTTTCATTTGTGATGTGGAAGGAGGGAGGAATGGAAATTGTAGAGCCATTCTGTAATAATATTGTGTAAACCTATAGATTGAAGAAATGTAAAGGGAGAGATTTCTGTGTCCTGCTTGTTTTAGACTAATCAGAAGATACTTCTGAAATGATCCTATTATCAGTTCCATCCTGTTAGAGAAGGTGTGAAAATGTTTTGTAATTTTAGAATTCACTGACAATGGCCAGTTAGGCATAGACTGGTTTCCATGAGGGAGGCTCCCAAGTTCTGGGAGCCTTGGGTCTGTTAATTTGTAACAATATTCAAAGACCAATATATTATCCAGATACTATACTGGGAAGAACAACTAAAAATTTACAATTGATTAAAATTAAGTTTGAAAAATATTCTTTTAGCATTGAACTACAAGTCTATGGCCCCACAAGTATGGGGAATGAAATTACTTCCTGCCTCCATTTTAACTGTGCATAAAACTAACCAGATGGCTCCAAGTGGACTTTATAGTGGTTCAAAAGTACATGAAATCATAAAGAAAGAAATAATAGTTGTGCTGGAGTTTCTGCATCAATTAGAATATCATTGATTTCTTTAGAACAAAGTGGAAAACTGTATTATTTTGAAAATTATGAATTTGTCCTAACTTCATTTGAAATTATAGATCATGCTTCTCATTTTTTAAACTATGTCCTTTAAAACAACACTGGAAATTCTGTATTATATACAAGTGTAACACATGCATATTAATAGAAAAAATAAATGGAATTTAAAATATACTAACTAGATTATCCCCCGTAGATTAATGTTGTGACTATTCAGAAAAGGTGAATAAAATTGGGATACAAAATGGACTCTCTTTCATAAGTACGATTTGGAAAATCTATGTTCTTTTGTTATACTTTAAAGTCATGTCAGTTACTATCGAGGAAAGCCTCTGAATTCCTAAGAAGGCTGTCATAAATTCTTCACTGTTCTTTTCATAAAAATCCATAGCAAATACTGCCATTTATGTAAGGTTCCAATATCTGGTTTGCTTCTTTGCTAGGAAACAATGAAATGGATACAATTACCCTTTTGCTACTTGCCCAAAACTTGACTATAAGCAAAATTGGCACGATTTTGCCGATGCAAATTCATTTTATTATGAAAATTGTTAATGAATACTGTTCATTATTTTATATATTATAATGGAAATGTGCATCCAAATCAAAAACATGACTACCATTGTTAATCTTTAAAAGTTTTAAAATACTTTTTCTTTTGACATAACTTAAGATTCACAAGAAGTTAGAAAACATAGCACAGAAGTTTTCTAGGTACCATTTCCAGTTCATTCCACAGTGATGACATCCTGAAAAATCAGAATACCATGTCAAGACCGGGAAACTGACATTGGTACAAAACTATAAATCCAATATAAATCTTATTTGGATTTCACCCGTTTTCACATAAACTTCATGTGTGTGTATATGTTCTTAAATTTTTTTACCAAGTTTATATACATCCATTGGAGTATGTTGGAACACGATTAGAGTGTGAGAGTATAATAGGGGACAATGACTGATTCCATTGGGATAATTGTTTTGAAGCCCTCTGTTTTGGAATGACATCCTATAATTTATTTTATTTTATATTTTATTGCTTCTTAATACAATGAAACATCCATTTTTAACACCAGACAGTACCATACATGATTTCAAATTTGATATCAGTTTTAATGGATAGGAAGAGATCTGAGAATCTGCACCTAGGGTTAAAATAAAAAGGAAGTTTGATCCTGTTCTTTATTTCCCTCAGCAAATCCTGTGTTTCTAGAAGATGCTATAAAATTGGATTGTGACTTCTGATAACACACAACAGCCAATAGCAGTGTAATTAACTGAGTGAGACTTGATCTTTAAAGTTTTCATCATTTTCTCAATTCATAGGTGAGACATCTGTCTGAAAGCAATATATGAAAAGAAATCAAGTAGAGTTTTTGTTCGCCTTTTAGCCCATTCTCGTTTTGACTCACTAACTCAAATGGATAGACTTAGAATTGTTATTGCACAAAAGGCTCACGCTGATCCCTGAGGCCAATTAGTAGAGGATGGTAGAGAAAGAACTGCCTTACGATAAGCCAGCTGATCAGAAGATGGCAGAGATTCTCATCCTAAAAGGGCTGTCTCGCTGGGAAACTGAGCTAGGAGTGTTTTGTATAGGACCCTATGTAAGAGCTGGTGTCCTTCTCTCAGGTGAAGGCTTGTGGCCAAATACATGATCTGACCTTAATTACATATTCATGTGATGTTTCTCAGTTTGGCAAATCTCAGAGACAAATATCATCACTTTTGTGGACTACTGAGTCACTGATTAGTTTGCCCCATTCAGTTCCCGATATATGACACAATGCACAGGCTGAAGAGTGACTACCCCAGGGCCCTCTTATTGATCACCAAACTCTGTGTAATGAAAGACAACACACATCATGTGATTACTTGTAAATATGAGTCTTGTGAAGTTAAATCGTGGGTGGAAAATGCAATCTGCTCTCAGCATTCAGCTTCAGAATGATATTAGATTGTTCAGAGAAACTGAATATTGGGGGAGACCTATGCTTGGCATCTCCTGCTCCCCTTACCCACATCGAAATCTCATGGTGGAACATTACCATTTTACCAAGGTAAGGACCTTTCTTTCTTTTGTACATAGAGTGTTTTAGGAAAAAAGCAATGAAAAAGATATATTTATGCTCAGCTGAATTCTGGGGTTAGTGAAATGCATCCTCAAAACTGGCTTTTGAATCAGTTCAACAGACATTTTTTTTCAATGCTCTGTGTGCATGGCACTATGGAATTAATGGAAAAGTGGATGCACAGATTTATAACTGCTTCATATTTGCTTTACTTTATCACAGATAATTTTCTTCAACATATTGCAAGTTACTAAATGGTATGTAAACCTTTTTCTGAGAGGTCCTGTTTATTACATAAAGCAATAATTGGTGAGATGGGTGAGATGAAAGGCCATTGAAAGATAGAACTCCAGAGGGTTCTAAACCTACAAAACTGAAATAACAGAGATTCAGTTAAACATGAGAGAAATACTTGGAGAAAAGGCAGACTGAGGGACAGGTGGAGACTTGGTAAGTCTATCAAGTCTAAAGTGCCAAGAGAAATTCAGAAAGTTTATGTTAGATAAGAACTGAACAGATTTAACTGGATTGGTAATTAGAGATTATTATTGGTCTTGGATGGAGCAACTTCAATGCACCGCTCATTGTAGAATTGAGATTTCAGTGGGTTGGAGAGTGAATGACAGATTTGAAAGTGAAAAATAACACATGTAGACTTCTGTTTCTATAGGAAGCAAAAAAAAAATAGTAGTTATGCAGGCAAGACAGAATTGGAGATCTCACTTTTCTTACTATGGAAGAAGTAAGAGTATGTTTAATTATGCTTCACATAATTAGGGAGAAGAAAGGGAGAGAAAGTATGTGGGAGGGGGAGTAATTGGTGAAGGAAGGCATGACTATATATACATGATCCATGAGTAATAAGGAGGACCACATTCTATAGAAAGTCGAAAGGGATGAGAACAGGGAAGAGACATTTGGTGGTAAGTCACTGGTGACCTCCAACAGAGTAATGTTGTGGGATGGTAGCCCAGGAGTCAAATTGGCACATGGGTGATGTATCAACTTATTCCTGAGCTACTGAAACTTAGTTAAGTTACAGTTTAAGATTATAAATGGATAAATGAGAGAGACTAATGAAATCTCAGTACCCTTATTTGTAAAATGGAAATGGTTCAGTTACCTCAGGATTGTTAGGAAGATTCCATCAGTTATTATGTGTGAAGGGCTGAGTAGAGCTTTTAGTGCCTTATGGACACTTATTAAATGGTGGCTCTTTCATTGTGAAAGATGCTCTGTTTGCTCTTCAGTTGAGTAAAAATGATGTCAGTAGAAAATAATAATTCATATCATGTATGGAATAAAAGGATTTGGGGCCTGCTGGTACATGTGGTAAGCTGGAGAGAAAGATGTACATTTACATTTAAATCACTTTCTAGAATTGTGTAACTGCAAGGAAGTACGGCAGACTAAGTGAAAATGTTTTTCTGATAGGAGAGATTGAGTCCAAGGAGTCAGGAGAGAGGCAGACCCTCATAAAGGAAGGGATGGACCAACAACCTGGAGGAGGCCATCTTCCTGGAGGTGAGGGTGAACATATTAAGTGGAGGGCTTCACATGGGAGAGGAGTGTACTTTACTTCTATTGGAGGAGATGAATGGGCAATGATAGAGGAGGCTGGAGAGAAATTTTAAAATGAGGCCAAGGGCAACATGGTTAAGAGCCTTCAGGGCAAAAGAATGGCATTCTCAGGTAGTGGGAAGATGAGACTCATCTGCTCAGTGTAAGGAGAAGGACTTGTGTTTGGAGTCTCCAAGGAGAAAAGAAAACATGTGAAACAGAATTTGATACGGGATAAAGTTGGGAGTTCATAACCCGCTTGAATCAAACTGTGAAATATGATGTATTAAGAACTATGTAATGTTTTGAACGACCAACAATAAAATAAATAAATAAATAAAAATTAAAAAAAAAGAATTTGATGTTTCTAGATATTAGAGTTACAAAAAAAATAAATAAATAAAGTCACAATATAGATCATTTAGTGGGTGCAGGCATCAGTGTTTTGCAGTCTGGACAAAGGAAAAGTGAAAATAATGGAGTTTGGATCATCTTTGAATGAACACCGGCAAGACAACAAGTACGGCTAGCATCTCTTGAGCACCTACTCGACCATGAGTTCTTTCTGAGAATTTTACATGTATTATGTAAGTGAATGTTCCTAAGATACATGGGATTGTCCCTGTCAGTTTGTAATAACACAAGGGCACAGCAAGGTGAAGTAGTTTCCCCTGTGTCACATTGCATTAAGTGAAAGAACTAAGATTTTAGCCTCTGTGGTATTAAAAAAGGGTGTAGCTTAAGGCTGCAAGAAGATTTGGAGGGCAAGTAAGATAAAAGGAATTGATATTTATGAATCTGGGGAGGGACAAGGAGACTGGAAATAGTTTCATGAAAGCGGAGAATAGTTTTAGTACGAAAAAAGAGTTCATTTCATCCATTAGCAGAATTTTAGACATCTACTCTGTGCCATGAGCTGTGTGAGATGAAACGAATAAAACATAAGTGATAAGCTTTACCTGCTGGTGGGATGATGTCTCTCTTGGGAGGGGTAACAACTGAATTTTTACCAACTGGGCTTAAGAATCTTCAGGCAGTTACATGAAACACTGGAGCTGCATGGCAGCACTGGAGGAAGAATGGGCTGGAAAAGAAAACGGGGAAGCCATGAAGAATAGGGAAATGCAAGGCTCCAAAAAGAAGCCTGTTGTCTTCATGGGGGTACACCATGGTAGGACTTATCAACTGTCGGGAGCTGCCACATAGGAACCAAATGCCCCTGATCCCTGAGCGATGAGACTGTGGTGATGTGGCAAGCCAGCCATGGGCTGTGTGTGTGTGTGAACTATGAGCATTGAGCTCAAGTGGACTGAACTTACCAGCCTCTCTGGCCTCGCTCTAGTCTTTTTGCTTGCTTTGCCTGTGATCCCCACACAGCTTATGGGACGGGCATGGCCTCCCTAGATGTCAGTCAATCTGCTGGCGGCAGACATCACAAAGCTAGTCTTGACCCCCTGAAACCTGACCCTTGCCTCATTTGAATGGCTTCTTCCCAGTAAAACATTTCAGCACATGCTCCCCTCTCTCTTTCCACGGATCCCTAATGTCAGAGGAGCCATCACAGGACCCAAAGAAAAAGGAATTTCTCTGTCTCTGTGTGATTATTTCGTGCAGCCC